GTAGTGCACATCCAAATTAACTGCAATCGACATCCGAAACATCATGCAGGGTTAAAACTATCAAATTCAAAATTTAACCATTATTTTGGAAATACTCCAAATTTGGGGCCTAAGGGTCAGATATACAACTTTTGTAATGCCGCCATTAGCACCAGCGACCCTAAATAATTCAAAAACGACCCCTAGAATGCCGATGCCGATTCGTCAATTTTTACAGGTTTAAAATCTTGAACACCCTTTTGAACAAAAGTGTTCAAATTTTGAACCCACACGAAAATTTCGGTGGGTGCTGCGGGTCAAAAGTTTTATTTGGACCTAATAAACATGTGTACCGAGTTTCATGCTTTTGTCAAAAAGTGCAGCGTTTACCTCGATATTCAGTTGTACCGCCTACGCTATCGGTAACCTCGGGTGAACGCAAACGGAGAAACAGTAGCTCCAGGAATCGGTCGGGTCCAGCAGATGGCGGCGGTCACTTCGGCAAAACTAAAACTAAATTACGGCAGACTTCCTAGCGGGACTGAAAACAACAAAACACAAATCGGTGGAAGCGGTAGAAAAGCAAGCGGTAGAAAAGCACCCCCCCCCCCCCCCCTTAAATTAGTAAAACAGAAAGTAACAAAAAACTCACCTTTAAGGAGTTTTAATACGGGTGACTTAATGTACAAGAAAAATAAAACGGTACGGATGCAAAATGAATTTACGGCAATGGTTGCAAAAGCAAAGTTGAAATTTCGGTACCTACTTACAAAACTTAGCGGTGCAAAAGTAGGAAGATCTAACTTACGGCTAGCAAAAATGCCAAAAGATCCAAATTCATAGTGCGTTTCCTATTTATCAAAACGCCCATTTCGGGTAGGGAGTAACTGGAAATTCTATTTTGTACGCGTATACCTCAATAGGTTAAACCAAATTAAACTGTTTTTAATTAATTACTCTGTCTGCAGTTATCGGAAAAATATGTGACAACTTGCAAACATCTGGAAAAATTAGAGCTCATCTAGACACACATGTCATTTATTATGCCTACCCAGTTATGCGCGTTCAAACTTCAATGCTCATTAATTTTAATAATTAATAATTAATTGGACGGTTGTCATTATCTACACACATGAATGCTGCAAGACTGATAACGTGTAAACACCTCGATTTGGAACTCGTTTCTATCCTGGTTTTCACTTACTATTGGAAACTAAAATGGTTAATAATTAATCCGGGTACCGGCATGGATATTTGCAAATGTATAGTGGGTTGGGTTGGTAGAGCAGCCTTGGCTGAAACCCCGCCCACTCAAAAATAAAGGCAAAATAAAAAAATAAATAAAAAATAAAATTAACGGCCCTGAAATCTCAAAATAGTAATTCGCTTCATCTTCTCTGGCAAGAGAGTTTTGGGCAGCTGTAAAACAATCTAAATATTTCTACCGGAACAGTTGAAAAACTGATAAATTTTACAAAACCTACGTGAGCCTAAAATGGTTTCTTGATAACTAAAAAAATAACTCAAGTTAATTTTGATCTAATCTAAAGTGTTAAAATATTGAAATGCCACATTTAATGGCCTAAATTGTATACATTTGTGTGCAGTCTGAGAAAGAAGTAAATGAGTCTAAAATTTGCAGGGTATGACCCCCGGGTCTAAAGCAGCGGCCACCACTAAAATTAAAAAGTAATAGTAACCGATTTACAGAAAGCGCATTTCCACTTATTCATTTCTCATTTGTAAAATGCAACTTCTGTTAAAATCGTAAAAATCCGGCCACAAATATGAAAGATAGCATTGCACATGCGCAATACATTTTTGACGTGCTACTTCAATTTTTGTGTATAAGAAGAAATTCATTTCAGTGCTTTTCTAAATAAGAAAGTTGGAACTGCGCATGCGCAAATCTAAATTTTGAAACTAACATTGATTTTCCTTTGTTCCAAGCGCCTATGTATCAAATTTCATTTAAATAAATAATAAAAAAGTTTGCAATTCGGTTTATAAATGGTCGAGATGGGAAAAGGACACTGTGAATAATTTTGAATCGACTCAACTTTTGGCATTGCGTATTATATGGCTAAAGCTATGCCCATATTGAATTTCATGAAATTCAGTTCATAACTATCCCCGAACGGAAGCAATTGCTATTTTGGAAGCATTGAAATTTTGTCAAAGAATTGGCTCGAAAAAAATTGCGGTGATGACAGATTCCAGGAGTGTCCTGCAGTCATTAGAGAATACCACAAAATTACCAAAAATGAACTATGTTGTCAGGGATATTATTAAACTATTAACGGAATTGCATTGTAGATCCGTAACTGTAACCTTTTATTGGACAAAAGCACATAGTAATATCCATTTCATTGAGGTAGCTGATGGCTTGGCGAAGTCATCGGATAGCCTAAGCGCATATATATACAGTAATAAAATTCCGTATACAGATGTGGTACCTTTTTTAAAGAGAAAAATTCTAAATGAATCGTGGAATATGTTGTGGAAAAACTATTATAAAACTAAAAGTACACAATATGCTAAAATACACCCCACGGTTTACTCCAGGCCATGGTATGAAAAAAATTCTGCATTAAATCGTTGGGAATGTACCGAGATAGCTAGATTGAAGTTTGGGCATGGGAGCTACCCACCTCATTTGCATAAAATTAATTTAAAACCTACGTCGCAATGTTCATGTGGATACGAAATTGGAGATTTGAACCACATATTTTTTGCATGTCCCAATAACACTATAGCTACGAAAACATTACTAAATGAATTACAATCGCATGGCGTGTCTTTTCCCATAGAACTAATCTCCCTCCTGGCACTTGATAAAGAGCCAATATGTAGAAGCTTACTGAACTTTTTAAAGAATAGTAAATTAAGAATTTAAAAATATATACTTCGCGTCCGTTTGTGACCATCCATTGTTTGCCCTCCTATGCAACCGAGGTCTGAGTCTGTGTTTTGTGTCTTGAAAGAAGTCATTGTGAGGGACACCACAATGTGAAATTTTGTGCCCCTGTTTACTCATATTCCTGAAATCCCATCTTATTCGCGATAAAATAAACATTCAAACCAATCAGATAATAAGGCCCATGGGCTAGATCCCGAATAGCCTTAATTAAATAAAAAAAAAAAAAAAAACTAACGGAGATTTCAAACCGATCGGACATTTCTAAACAAAGTTATCATTCACACGGACAGATAGAGGGACAGACAGACAAAGGAACAGAAGGACAGACGAACAGACAGCAATACAAAATTATAAACGATCTCTAGGATCGTTAATAAACGGCAAAAGTGTAAAATTATGGAACATGCAAAAATAGTATATTAAGATACAAGTGTATAATCAAGTCTTTAAAGCACGCGCAACGAGTTTAAGGGCACGACGCAAAGCGGAGTGCCTTTAACGTTGCAAGTGCTTTAAAGACTAATTATACACGTGTATCTTATAGTATTTTTTATTATACCTGCAGTATAATTTAAAAATAGGAAATACAATAAAGTCATATTGACGTTATACTCGAATACATGTCTAATTAAGTGGGCTGGGTGTTCGTAATTTCACGATTGCCATGGAAATGTCACTTGACGTTTGCTTACAAAAATCATCGTCTTTGTGAATTAAACGATTTCCGTTGAAAAAGATAATACACCGCCCATTAAATCGATTGTTGTAAAATCTAAACAAACGTTGGTAGGTGTAAAATCCAACTCCAGTAAAGCCTATTATAAAGAATATGAAAAGTTGTTTCCATGGATGAATAGGAAAGTTACTTACGAATACAGTCGTCGATAATGCTGGCATATATGAAGGAAATGTCAAAGGTATTTAAATCTTCTATACTTTGGTGCATTCATTCAAAACTTTAAAGCAACGCTGCGATTAAAAAGTGGAACAGATTTGGAAGCATACCCTAAATTACGCGCGTTTGTGAAAGCTTCAACCAAAGGATAGATACAAAAGCCAAAGAAATGTTCTGCATTTACAGAAAGCGACCTAAGAGGATTTTTTATTTCATCCAGATGACAGTTTCAAAAGTCATACTTGAAGTATCGTTACTTAGCAACTTTAAAGCACGTGTGTTTTAAAGGCCCTTTTTCGCACGCATTTGAGTGTTTAAAACGGAGATTGTGATTCAGGTATAATAAAAACGGTTTTTTTGTTTTTTTTACAATAACTTTTTTAGTAATAAACGCAAGCAAGCCTCGACACCATAACGAACAAGTAGCTCTTAAGATAAAGAACTAGTAGCGCCTCAACGAACGAGCGGACGGACGGACGGAAAAAGTGGCCACAATGGCGCTTTTATTTTTATTTTTGTGGAAATGCGCTGAGAAAAATGTAGAGGATGTTACATAGACGACGAGACGACGAACCACATGTGAATGTCCCGCTCTAGTCCAATTGAGACAATCCATGTTGAGGTACCCTGGCCGGACATGGGTATAATTAGAGCCGCTTCCTCCTCCAGCAAAAGAAGCACCTCTGAATATACTCTGCCAGTGTAAAAGGTGTATAATACTTATTGGTTATTGTCTGTATTTTTCTTTATGATGAGCTGATTGCTCCGAAATCGATTAGCTAATGGAAGCTTTTGAACCCAAAGTAAGATATTTAACAAATTTCGTGACTTTAATTATATACATTACCTACACAAAAACGTATACTGTGTTAGCGCTGCAAAAAGTAGCAATAATATTCTTATCGCAGGCAATAATCAAAGTAAGATTTATAGTTTTTGGATTTTGACCTATAATTTTTAATCAGATAACATAACAAGACAAGTCTTAATGCAAAAGATAATTACTAATTAAAATTATGTGTAACCAGGTATAATTAACAATGGTAATGTGCTTATAATATAATAAGTTTACCTGAACATAAGCCACAAAGTTACTGACAGTAGGCATTACTTAAAGTCGTACAATTACTGAATGAACGGTGATAAAGAATTCAAAAGCAATTAATATTTACTTCATTTCATTTAATTTGATGTGCTGATTAAGCGATGGGATACGCAATTGTTCGTTATTATATTCTTATTGCATTATATACAACTGCAAGGTGTGAATTAACGGTGCAAACCTCCCATGGTGAAATACGCGGAATATCCCAAACGGCTGCGACTGGAAAGAAGGTGAATGCATGGTATGGTATTCCGTATGCCGAAAAACCAATTGGCGATTTACGTTTTCGTCCTTCGATTCCTCCACAACCGTGGCAAGGTACTTTGAACGCGTCCAAAATTCCTCCAGCCTGCATGCAGACTCGTGCAAGTTTTCTCTCGCAGCATGAATTCTTTCCTGGCAAAAAACGGTGGATGCCCAGAAATCCCTTGAGTGAGGACTGTCTCTACCTCACCGTGGTCGCTCCGGATCCGGTCCCGCTAAATGCAGCCGTAATGGTGTGGATACACGGGGGTGGATTTTACTCAGGAAGTAACACATTGAGTTTGTACGATCATAAAACGTTGGCGTCCGAAGAAAACGTAATTGTTGCCTCTATGCAATACAGACTTGGTGTTTTCGGATTTTTGTCTTTGGAAAGAGAGCTGAATGGAAACGCGGGCTTGTTTGATCAGGCATTGGCATTGCAATGGATCAAAAATAATATAGCGGCGTTTGGAGGTAACCCTAATAGTATAACAGTTTTTGGCGAATCTGCCGGGGCAGCGTCAGTATCTCATCATTTATTAAGTCCAGTATCGAGCAACCTATTCTCCCGTGCTATTATGCAATCTGGCGTTGCCACTGCTGCTTGGGCAACAGATACGGGGCTAAATATGGCAAACAGTTTGAACGTCGCTAAGCGGGTAGGTTGTCCAAAAGAATTACCGTTAATGGTGAAATGTTTACAAAGGACAGATGCGGACTTACTTCTTACAGCACAAGAAACAATTCCGCGATTGGGATTGGTCTCCATCCCTTTCTGTCCTGTTGTTGATGGAAAGTTTATCGTAAGAGACCCCTTAGAGACTCTGAAAAATGGTTTGTACGATCCAAAAAATGTAATTATTGGTGTGAACGAAAACGAGGGGAGCTACTTTCTGTTGTATTATGCGCAACGTTTCAATTACGAAAACGTTACGGTGGCTCGCGCTAGATTTCTTGAGGAAATTCCAAAAATTGTGGCAACCAGAAGTCCCTTGGAAATCGAAGCAATCGTCTACGAATACACAGATTGGTCGGATCCTAACGGCGCGAGCAAGAATTTAGTTGCACTAGAAAAAATACTAGGCGATTCATCCTTCACGTGCAGTTCATACGAATTTGCTAAAACTTATTCCGAAAGAAGCAATCTCTTTTTCTATCACTACAAACATCGAAGCCCTCTAAACCAGTGGCCTTCGTGGGGAGGGGCGCTGCATGGCGATGAAATAGCATTTATTTTCGGCGAACCTCTAGATCCGAGAAAAAAATACGCAAGGGAGCAAATTGAGTTAAGCCGTCGAATGATGCGATATTGGGCCAACTTTGCAAGAACTGGAGATCCAAATTGTGTTACTAATCACCAATGTCAAAATGCATGGCCTCTATTTGAACCCGATAATCTAAGGTATATTAATTTGGACGTTAACCGCTTTTCTGTCTCAAAGGAACCGGTGAGAGCTAGGCAGTGCATGTTCTGGCAAAAATTCCTACCAAAGGTGCAACAGTTATCAGGTATGAGTTTAATTTAAACGTTTTTCTTTTTTCAGTGTCTGAACATTGATCAACTTTACATTTTGAGGTAAGAAGTTTACTACAGTATTTTATCTTGCAGATTCTTAATATAAACCATGACCCTCTATCCACCTCCTGGAACCGCTTTGGTACATTCACTTGAATAACATTTCTAATCGTTGAATGTATATTATTTGCATAACGAAACCTGTTTAGATACGTAGAAAATGAATTTTTATCTCTACGGCACTGGTAAAAATTGTACTGCAACCTGACTGCAACAATTAATTTATTGTTGTAATGTCACGGTTAGCTCAGGAATAAATAAACTTTCAGTGGTTCTTACCCTATGCTGTGGTTTGATCACTCTCAACTAAACACCCTTTGTAAAGTGAATTGCGTGAGTATATTTACATTTGTCGTGATTTACAATATTAATGTAATTCATTCGAATATAAGCTAAAATTGTAAGTCCTATAACGTGATCCCGTTTCAAATGTAATTGTTTATTTAAGTTGTTTACTATTTGTAATTAATTCATTCGCCTATTCAAAAACAACTTTACACGCATCTGTATGCTAAATAAAATTTTATCCCACACAAAAGAATGGTATCAATGAACAGTCAACTTCACAATTAATGAGCAAAATTTACCATAATCTTTTGTTTCGGCCCGCCATCGCCAATGGATCTATTTCTTGCAGACGTCTCAATCGCCCTTTGTGAGTACACTCTTCCGACAGTTCGTGAGGTATAAGGGAGGAGGGCTATGGTTGGTAGAAATTAATTCCTTTCGTTGAGACCATTAATTAGAATGCAATGAGATAAAATTAATTTTTAACCCCTCCCCCACACCCCACCCCTCAGGCACCGTCGCTCACTGATCTCGAAAAAGAGTTGCACGGGAAAGTGTTATAGTTTATACAAACCAATTTATTTCGATCAGACCTTTCATTAGAATACCATGAAGGGTAGAGCATTTGTTTACCCCCTCCCTTCCCATTTTCTAAAGTCTCTTTCATTATGGAGTGGTACACGTATAAAATTGTCTATACTGGCAAAGCCTAAAGCTGAGTAGATCAGACACCTATTACCTTAAGGAAAATAGAATTGGGCAAATATGTTACAGTGTGTGCTTGCAAACAAATGTAGTGTTGCAAAATCTACTGATTGTTTTTGCAAGGAGCTACACCCCAAAATTTTCATATTATATTACAACATAGAGTAAACAACGTTGTTTACTGTATGATTATACGTACAAAAAGTAAAACAAAAACACCAATAAACCACAATATTTGTACTAATTACAAGTAAAAGTGGAAGTTTCCGAGTTTTGAGCCTTGCTCTTGAAACGCATAAGATACAGTGAGATTTATTAAGAAGTAGACATAGTGATATACTCGTATGTGTATTATTTTTTCATATGTCTATGTTGTTGTTTATGAAATTATTAACTGATATCTGTTGCCAAGCGAAGAACAACACTAGATTTAATGGTGGATTGAATATAATAATAATAAATAAATGATTGACAATTTCGTCTGTTTTTATCAAATGTGAAATTGCAACCAGAAAACTGTATCATAAAGATAGTTCCGATTAGTTTTTACGGTTCTCTATTAATTGTTACCTTTTTAGCCTCCTGATTTACACAAGCGATCTCCTGTTCTTTAACTGAAATCTGACTACAATTGGGGGTTTTTTAACTGTGCACTGCCCAGCGAATCTCAAGTAACAAATTACGGTACATTAATTAAAATCACAAGAAATATTAAGGGTGGTTTAAGGATGCATCTCCTTATGTTCATAGGTTATCTATTGAAGTTTCTGTTTACTAAATGACTACCTGTCACAAATTTGAAGAGATAAAATTTACTTCAAGGTGCTTTTACTACCTCTAAATCGATCAATGATTTGAAATTGAAATTACTAATAATTTACAGAAATGACCTCTGAACTCTCGACTACTTTAGGATCTCTTATTTAAAGTTAGGTCAGAATTTCTCTTTTTTGAACGGATCGTAAAGCTGTCGATTGAAATTGACAAAACAATACAATTTACAACTAACCTCTTTTTTACAATTCTTTTCTTGAAGTGGAACACAACGTTGTGGAATCATCCATAGGGGTAGTTAACAGATGTTTTCAATTGGATGTATGCTTAAACCCGACGACTTAAAATTCTTCAAACATAGAAAATAAAGCAGTCTTTGAATGAAAACGGGGGGTGAAGAACAGTCTACAGTTGGCGCGAGTGACGGTATACCTCTCACATCTAAAATTTTCTCAATCTCTCCTACGAGGTTAAACACGCTCAGTGTGTGGCGCTCCAAGCGACACTCGCACATGCCCATGTCTATAATTGAATGAGCTCTCGAATTTTTGTCATGACTTGACGCTCTACAACTTTTACAGTCCATCAATTAAAATTTGTAATCTGTGTATTCATTTACAGTCACCCGGTGGTGCTACTATTTATATTGTCAATTGTAGAAGTGGAAAAGAGGCAAGCAAATATAATAATCTGTATTTTATTTGAGTATGTGATTTATACAAAATATTGTGAAGAATGGCTTTGTGCGTAACTTCAAAAAGCTAACGCAAACAGTAATTGCTGAAATCTTGAAATTGCTTACGATACATCGGTTTAATATAATTGAACATCGTAGTAGGCGTTAAACAGAACTTTCGTAAATGACAATTTTAACAACTGGCGGTGAAATTTGCCTCTCTTGGGTTCCATTTGATATATCCCTTATTACAGATTCCACGGCATCCTCCCATTGAATTTGTTTGGGTCGCCTCCCGTATTTGTCTAATTGGTTCGTAAACCGTTTGGGCATCGTAACCTACGAAAGATCAGAATTACCCATACCACTTCGAAATGTATAGTACTTACCACAGTTAATACTTTCTTTAAATCGTTTTGAAAAGCCGAAACGTCTATGCCAGGGGCACTATCTGCCATTTTGCGAAGACTTTCGGCCAGTGGCCCAGACATCGCCTGCAGCTGTTTCCACGACTGTAGGTATTGCCTTCTGACCAACTCGATTATGGTGGATGTAAGCGCCAATCCTATCAGTATGTACACCGTGCAAAGCAGCATATACTTCGGTTTTTCTGGAAATTTAAATTAATGCGTTAGTATTCTATTTAGGTTATTAGCCAAAATACTATTTTTGAAGAATGGGGGCATCCCGGCTTCATTTTTTATTTCTGATCTACAACCTACATTAAAAATAAAAAGACCCGTGTGTCCTAAATTTTTATTTGCGAGTAAAATAAATGATTGAAAAGCTGTGTTTTTAGTCCGAATTTGAAACGCTTTAGTCTAAATACGTCACAAACCTACAGCCAATCACGTAGAAGTGAGCCGGCAACCTTGTGCGAGAGTCTGACGTTTGTCGGATTTGACGTTTTAAGAAACATATTTAAAGCTGAATTTATAGTTCCGTACAGGGGCGGTTTTTAGGGGGGGGGGCGACAGGGGCAATCGCCCTCCCCCCTAAACATACTGCTCAATTGTTTGTTTATTTCATTAGGTTTACATAATAATCGAATTAAATAGACCTAACCACAAACCACCTGACGGAAAAGTAAAATTGAATAAAATAGGTACAAAATAATGCCGGCGGGGGCGGAATCGTGTATTGTCCAGACTGCGACTCACGACTGTACTTTAGCACTATCATTATTAGTTTAAACGTAGAAGTGAGCCGGCAACCTTGTGCGAGAGTCTGACGTTTGTCGGATTTGACGTTTGAAGAGGCATGGTTAACTGCATCTAACGCGAAAGTGAACAACAAGTGACAAGTGCCTGTGACAGGTGACGCTAGTTACAAATGACATTCTGCTACATTGCCAAGTCGTTATGTCATCTGAATGGTTCTAGGAGCTGATTGGTCGGGCTTATTACGTCACAGAGCCCGCCACAATCATATCGTTTTGAATAAACCCTTAAAACCGCACATTATTCTTTCCTAATCAGCCTCTATTTTTAAATAAACTTTTACTGTAAAAAAAATGTTTTATGGTTTCAGGTACACGCTTATTAAATTAGAACTGCGGAGGTTTACAGTATAGTTGAAGTAGAACACCAAAAGCAAAGTTGTAAAGTTGATATATTTTATTATTACATTGTAAAAAGAAATAATTAAAATTACGGATATACGTACGGGCATCTCGGCTTCAAAGACAAGTCCCAGCTAAGTTTTTGGTCAATGGTCGCAGATATATATATATATGCAGAGGTGCTTGATCTCGTTGGGTTTGATAGCCCGAAAATAGTGAAAAGGATTCGGCATAGGTAATTAAACACAACACATTCTCGTAGGAACTTCGGGAAGTTCTTTCGGAGTACCCCTTAAAAAAGAATGTCAAGTCTCTTTTCGATTGCAAAACATAAAATTCTGTTTTGTCCTGTTCCCGTTCCCGTGGGAATTTTGGAAAGTGTTTTACTAACTTAGAAACTGTACCTACAATAAACGTTTTCGTGTTTTTTCTATATATAGAATTATTCTGCCGTTCGGGTAGGAGACGAACCCAACAAATCAAAGACCGTGAAAATCGGTCCCGCTGTTCTTGTGTTATATTATAAGTGGCGTAACTAACATACACGACTTTCTTTTATATACAGGGTGAGTTTTTTCCGATGTTTAGTATGGACATCTCATAAACCGTAAGAGATACAAAGTCGCTCATGGGTAAAGAATTGCAGAATTTTATGTAGATTAAGCTTCCCGTTCAGAGTTTCTTCTAACTGTGCAAATAACGAAGTTATTGTCAAAAAACCGAAAAATGTCATTTTCGAAAATGCGCTGGCGTTCATTTATTTTCAAAGATATCAAAAAATAATTTTAAGAAACCTTTAGTGATTTTTTCCCAGTTTTTTGATACTGCTAAAACAACATTTTTATTACTTGTGAATTTTGAGTAATCACATCAACATCTTATTTGTTATGGACGCCATACTGGATTTTTGCCATTCGTTAGAAAAAAAAATTACAAAATCAGCAATACTAAACACTTACGACCGGTATTATAAAGCATACTTAGCTGTATTGTCAGCTAATAATGTTGTTAAAGCATGTGATTGGATGATATTCTTTGAAAAAACATCGAAGCCCATGCCTCCCGGCTGATTCCCAAATGAGATATTAAGTGTTTAGTATCACTTGTTTTGTCATTTTTTCTCTAACGAATGACATAAAGATCTACTATGGCGTCCACGAGAAATAAGTAAATTGATGTGATTTGCCTACTCGAAAAAATTCACCCCCTATAAAAATATACAATATTTAGAACCATACAAATCATTGTTTGCCTTCGCTTTCATTCCTTTTTTTCAATATGGTTTTCGCTTACCGTCTAAATCGTTTTTAGCGCATTTCCACAAAAATAAAAAAAAAATGCGCTATTGTGGCCACTTTTTCCGTCCGTCCGTCCGTCCGTCCGTCCGTCCGCTAACTTTGCGACGCTACTAGTTTTTTATCTTAAGAGCTATTGTTCTACTTTTTTCGCTATTTGGTTCGTTATGGTGTCGAGTCTTGTACCAAGGAAGGAATTTTTTCTGTACCGCTTACAAAAAAAGTTATTGTAAAAAAAACAAAAAACCGTTTTTTACATGTTCCATAATTTTACACTTTTGCCGTTTATTAACGATCCTAGAGATCGTTTATAATTTTGCATTGCTATCTGTCGCCTGCCGGTTGGTCTCTCCGTCTGTTCCTTTGTCTGTCTGTCCATCTATCTGTCCGTGTGAACGATAACTTTGTTTAGAAATGTTCGATCGTTTTTACATCTCCGTTAGTTATGAACTGAATTGCATGAAATTCAATATGGGCATAGCTTTAACCATATAATACGCAATGCCAAAAGTTGAATCGAATCGATTCAAAATTCACAGTGCCCTTTTCGCACTCGACCATTTATAAACCGAATTGCAAACTTTTTTACTTATAAAAGTATTTGAATGAAATTTGATACATAGGCACTTGGAATAAAGGAAAATCAAACGCCAATTTAAAAATTTGGTTTTGCGCATGCGCAGTGCCAACTTTTTTATTTATGGAAGAATTTAAACGAAATTTGATACATAGGCACTTGGGATAAACGAAAATCAAACGCCAATTTCAAAATTTGGTTTTGCGCATGCGCAGTGCCAACTTTTTTATTTATGGAAGAATTTAAACGAAATTTGATACAGAAGCACTTCGAATAAAGGAAAATCAAACGCCAATTTCAAAATTTGGTTTTGCGCATGCGCAGTGCCAACTTTTTTATTTATGGAGGAATTTAAACGAAATTTGATACATAGGCACTTGGGATAAAGGAAAATCAAACGCCAATTTCAAAATTTGGTTTTGCGCATGCGCAGTGCCAACTTTTTTTATTTAAGGAAGAATTTAAACGAGATTTGATACATAGGCACTTGGGATAAAGGAAAATCAAACGCCAATTTCAAAATTTGGTTTTGCGCATGCGCAGTGCCAACTTTTTATTTATGGAAGAATTTAAATGAAATTTGATACATAGGCACTTGGAATAAAGGAAAATCTAGCGCCAGTTTCAAAATTTTATTTTGCGCATGCGCCGTGCCAACTTTTTTATCTATGGAACTATTAAGTGAAATTTGATACTTAGGCGCTTGGAACAAAGGAAAATCTAACATTAGTTTTAAAATTTAGGTTTGCGCATGCGCAGTTCCAACTTTCTTATTTAGAAAAGCTTTGAAATGAAATTCTTCGCATAAACTGAAATTGAAGTAGCACGTCAACAATGGATTGCCCATGTGCAACGCTATCTTTCATATTTGTGGGCGGATTTTTACGATTTTAACAGAAGTTGCATCTTACAAATGGGAAATGAATGCAAGTGGAAATGCGCTTTATGTAAATCGTTTACGATTACTTTTTAACTTGTTGTGCTTTATCCTCCATTCCAGCCCTCTATTATTTGCCATTCTTCTCGCCCGTTTTGTTTCTTTCCTTCTTTATTTCCTTTCCATGTCCTCTTTCTTATTCTATTCTTCTTTCAGTTCATTCGTCTCTCTCCCTCTTCTTTGTCATTACAGCATCATCTGATTGTCTCATTTCATTTGTTTCCTCTTTTACATTCACCTACTCGATCTTTTCAAATAATTTTTGTCTACCGCTTCTCTTTCCTCATTCTCTTTTGATCATATGTCAACTCATGACCTGCTTATGATGACATTTCTCTATGTTTAACTAGTTCGCAGTTCCCTGATTGACTGGGATTGCATGTGCACCTTTCTCATTATTGACGTTAAACGGGGAAACTTTGCAGTTTGTGTGCTATTTAATATTCCGTGTAAAAATGTTGCAAATGTGAGTTCGATTAAAAAGTTATTTAAAAAAACTGAAAACCGCTGAAACGCTCGATATTGACGGATATATAACGGAAACCCGGCAGAATGCTAAAATGTAAACACATCGGCACGGTACGATGCAAGTGACGCATGTATCGATCCGTACGCGAAATAGCAGAGTGCGATATCAACGAAAAAAGGAGTTTTAAAAAAATTGTGTAATCCCAATTGTGAAAAGTGAAATTAATTATTTTTACATTTTAAGCAACTAGTTACTAGACAATGAAAAATTTTCGATCATAATAAGCTAACCTTGCATCGTCAAAAAAATCAAAAATACCTTTAACTTTTTCATTCATACATTTTTAGATCTGTCGAATCAAAATGAGAAATATTTGCATTAAACCTATGTAATAATTTTTATAATTGAGAACATATTTAATTTTTTGAAAATCCGCTGTACTTTATTACTTTATTTTAAATGAGTCATATGATATTCGAATTTTTTATTTTGTAAATTCAATTTTAAACAAATCACAAACCACCAATACAAATATCTTCAAAGCTGTCAAAATGCAAATCGATTGAATATGGGACACCCAGTATAATAATAGCGACTTTTCCCATGTAAGCGCCATGTTCTCAAGCATTATCCCTTTGCCTTTCCCTTTTGTGTTGCAAGTTGTAATTCACGATTTTCGCTACAGATTTTTCTATCTCATCCGCAAAACCCTACTGCATAGCTGTTTAAAAACGAAAGCGAAATCGGAAAATCATGGATTACAACTTGTAG